TAAACACATTTAAATTTCCCTGAAATTCTCTGGACTTCTGTGAAGTTTCTGAAATATTTCTGAGGTTTTCATAAATTCTCTGGAGGTACTACCCTGAAATCCGCGGAACATATTAAGGAGTCTTTATTTGTTTTCAGCACATCATGGAACTATCTTGAATGTATCTTAATTTACGATTATAGATTTTAAACTGCTCCAAAAGTCTAGACTATAGTTACGGGAACTGCTCTTAAGCTCAGAAATTCCCCAAAGATTTCTAGATCCAGCTTTTCTGAGGTGCTAAGAACTTCTTAAAAATTTGCACAATACCCCTCAAGTTTTCTTAAATTTCTCAAGTTCGTTTGATACCTGTGAAGTTCTCTGAAATTCTAGGAACATCATAAAAGTTCCTGAAAAGTATCGGATGCTAAAAGAACCGCTTTGAGGTTCTTAAAGCTTCCAGTAAGTTTCCCATATTTTCAGCGTGGTAACTTCCCTTATGTTCCTGCAGTTTGTTTAAAGGGCTTCACTGAAATTCTCAGCATTTCCTTCTCCAAAGTTCCTACAATGATGATCTCTATTCTTTCATAAAGTTAATTACGAACTTGAAGTAAATCATTTATTTTTGAACTTAATTCTGGCACTTTGAATATTTTCAATATCTTGTACATGGAATAAGAAACTTCAAGACATTGAATATTTTTAGATCTGGGACTTACTTACTTGGAAAACTCAGGTAATATTATCCAGAAAAATGAGTAGACATCCTCCCCCTTATTCTGCGAGTCACGTGACTCTCTGTCACCGGTGAGGTGACAATTCTCACCTCACCGGTGACAGAGAGTCACGTGACTCGCAGAATAAGGGGGCCTGTACATAAGGAGAGACGATTAAACTTCACAACGAAAAATATACCCCCCTATTCTGCGAGTCACGTGACTCTCTCTCACCGGCGAGGTGACAATAGTCACCTCGTGTGAGGTGACTCTCCATGTAAATCAAATGGAGAGTCACCTCACACGAGGTGACAATTGTCACCTCACCGGTGACAGAGAGTCACGTGACTCGCAGAATAAGGGGGATAATCAATCTTGAAATAAATTCACTCTAAAAAAGTTGTAAGTCACTAATTATTACAAGAAAAAGTGACTCTAGTGACTTGGTCTAAAAAAAAGAGACTTTTTAGTGACTGACTTGAAAAAAGTGACCAAGTCACTAAAAAGTGACTCGCTACCAGCCCTGGAAATGATCATTGGAAATGAGAATGCTGAATTTGTTCATGAATGCCGTTTGAAGCACAAACGAAGTGACAGACGGAGCGGCTCGAAAACTGTGGTGACTAACCTGCTATTGCAATTTTTCAGTGTACCACATGGCAACACCACTGCAACTGGATTGTACCACATGGCAACACTGCTACTGGATTGAACTACACTCAAAAGATAAATCACATTTCCAATGGAAAATATCCATTAGAATTTCACTTAACTTTCATGTGATCTCATAATTGGGAATCGCATCACAAAATCACATGAACCTTATGTGTCCAATGAAGTTTATGTGATTTGTCATATACAATTCATGTGATCGTATGAACGTTATTTGAATTTCAGATAAAAATCATTAATTTTGTTATTGGAAAAATATCATGTGCGTTCCCAATGGAAACTATATGAAAACTTTTTTCAGTGTAGCATTTTCACCAAATGTACTAGAATGTTTTGGTTCTATCTCTTTCACTCTACTCAAAACTGAAATGCATAAAAAATGACAAAATGATACGCACTCTTTGCACACTGTCAAAGAATCATTGTACACAAAATCAACTTTGTGCAAAACCAAAACAAAAATGATGGTGATGATGGCACAAGCTTCCAAGAAAATTCTATTACAGCGAACCACATTATTTTCATTCCCCCTTATTCTGCGAGTCACGTGACTCTCTGTCACCGGTGAGGTGACAATTGTCACCTCACCGGTGACAGAGAGTCACGTGACTCGCAGAATAAGGAGGATTCCTCCTTATTCTGCGAGTCACGTGACTCTCTGTCACCGGTGAGGTGACAATTGTCACCTCACCGGTGAGAGAGTCACGTGACTCGCAGAATAGGGGGGACTGTCACTTCACCTCACACGCCGCGCAGAATAGCCCTGATTTACTCCCCCTTATTCTGCGAGTCACGTGACTCTCTCTCACCGGTGAGGTGACTCTCCATGCAAATCAAATGGAGAGTCACCTCACACGAGGTGGCTATTGTCACCTCACCGGTGAGAGAGAGTCACGTGACTCGCAGAATAAGGGGGACTGTTTTCTGAAGTTATCGCTGAATGCCGTTTGAAGCTCGATTCTCGAACGGAAGATCATGGAAGGCCATCGGATGGTTGTTTAATTCTGCTGCTCTTGGAAGGCAACCACAGAATAATTCCGAAATGTGTGAGCGTTGAATGAAGTTTGACTGTATGCGACGAGGGCTAATGTCCTGATCATTGGAATAAAATTGCTGAAGTTGTCGCCGAATACCGCTTGAAGTTCGATTTTCGAACGGAAGATCATCGAAAACCGTCTGATGGTGGTTGTCTTGTTTTGCAGAATTTCGAAGGCAACTTTAAAAGAATTTTCAGGTCATTTGAATGAGAGATTGCCATTTGAAGTTCAATTCTCGACTGACAGATCGTTGATTGTGGTTTTCTGATTCTGCAGAATTCGGAAGGCATCTATAGAGGAACTCTAGGCCACGTTGACTGTTTTCGACGAAGACTAACTTCCAGGTCATTTTAATAAGAGATTACTGTAGTTTTCGATGAATATCGTTTGAAGCTCGGTTTGAAGTTCGATTCTCGAATGAAAGATCATTAGGGGTTTTCCTTATTCTGCTGAATTCGGAAGGCATCTACAGGAGAATTCATAATCGTAGAGAACGTTGAATGAAGTTGCTGAAGTGGTTGATGAATGCCGTTTGAAGTTTTATTAGTGAAGACCGTCTGTTGATGGTGGATATGTAATTCTGATGAATTTGGAAGGAATCCACAGGAGACCTCGGAATGGTGTCAACTGAGCATAAAATGACTGTGACGACGAAGATTAGCTTTCAGGTCATTTTTTTAAAGCTTTATTAAAGAGATTTTTAGCCTTAGGCTAGTTCATCTCTACGCTTTGAGGTCATTAGAACGAATTCGATGAAGAGTTCAACGTGTTGTAGATAACTTTATGATACCATTTGAAGTTCGATTCTCGAATGAATGATCGTTGAAGGTCGACTGATGATGAGGGTGTCTGATTCTGTTGAATTTTGGAAAAAATCCACAGAAGAATTCATGATGCAGAGAATTTTGAATGATGTTTGACTGTTTGGAATACTAATTTTCTGATCATATAAATGAGAGATTGCCAAAGTCACCTCCAGGTTACTTCAATGGAAGATTGCCGAAATTTTCGATGAATTCCACTTGGAGTTAGAATACTGAATGAAAGGTCATTGAAAGCCGTCTGACGGTGACGGTTGTCTAATTCTGATGAATTTGGAAGGCATCTACAGAATAATTGTTAATGTAGGGAACGTTGAATGAAGTTGTCGCTGAAGGCCATTTGAAGTTCGATTCTCTAATGATGTCTGTTGATGGTGAATTTTTAATTCTGTTTCTGTTTGGGTTTTCCACGAAGACTGACTTCCAATTCATTTGATCGATCTAGAATTCTGATTTCTAGAATGAAACGCTACTGAAGTCATCGATGAATACCGGATGAAGTTCAATTCTTGAATGAAAGATTGTGGAAGATCGTTTGTAAATGTTAGTTGTCTGATTCTGCTGTGAGCTTGAATGAAGTTTTCCGACGGAGACTAACTCGCAGGTCTTTAGAATGAGATGTCTGATAATGATGAAGGCACGATGACGTTAAGGGATGACTCCCATTGTGTAGACGACGTACGAAGTTTAAAGGTCATAATCTGAAATGAAAACAACACTGTCAGCAGATGCATGAATTTGCCAATCTTTCCATAAATCAAAATTGCAAATAGAGTCGATAATATCGCACAGAAAATTAATTACGAAAATATCACCCGTCATGCTGTCTCCGAAGTTTATCGACGGAGCACAACAGGTTAATGACTTTTTATCACAAATAGGACAACTTCCTCCCCTAGTCATCATCGCCTTCATCGTCCAAAACAGCACACTATCTGTTCGTGATGATGGGTCGATAACAAATCCAAAGAGCAAACAATCACTCGCTCAGCAAATGGAACGAACCGCGGCATAGAGATAAGATATTGTTGGTACACCCTGGCCCCCATTTGTTGAAAATTAATTTTACGAACCGACCGAGACGATAGTGACGAAATCAACTAACATGTAAATAGCCTAACCTCTCTGAAGCCAATTGATAAGGGACCATGAAACGTAGATTGTTCCTTCAAGGGCGACCTCGCACCCGAACCGGTCCGTTCCAAATCCGACCGGTTCGACACCTCCCTTTGCCTGTCATCGGTAATCAAACGCCAACATTTTCTTTCGATACAAGTGAACTGACAAGACTCTGTTCAGCAAAATGTGATCTTTTTTCCGAATTTCCATTGAAGCAATTAGTGCTTGGCTCCGCTAATTGGCGTTGTAGGTAAACGAATACAATTATAGCTGTGAGCGTTTGAATGAGAAATCAGCGGTTGGAAACTGGCGTTGTCTTGCACGCACCAGCAGTTCTGTTTCGTATGACATTTTGATTTTAGCACAGACAAACAGACGTAATTCTTAGTTTTTAAACCACAGTTCGATCACTTTGACGTTGCTATACAACTCGAACTTGTATGTGACATTGTTTGAGGCGTCCATTTGTCTGTGATTTTAGGTTGATAGAAGAAGAGGGAGAATGTTGGGGAAGTTGTTTGAGTGCATTTGGCAGGCTATTGTCAGGCCAGCGGATAAACTTGTTTTCAGACTAGGCTAGGGCCAAATGCACTCAAATTCCGGAAATTGTGAAATGGATAGGTTGGGGGGATTAAACTACAACTATTGGTACTTACGCATGATTGCTGTGGCAGGTACAGGTTCGGCTGGTACTTGGGTTCCAAGGCGAGCAGTTCGCTCAGCTTGGCCATCATCTGCTCGAACGACATGGCTGGCTGCTGTGGGGCTTGGGGCTGCTGATGCAGAAGCGATGTCGAATGTGCCTGTTTCTTCTGTGGGGATAGCGACTTGGCTCCGGCCAAGTCCTGTGGGCCACCTCCGGTGAGGTGGCTGCCATTGCTGGTAGTCACTCCGGCCGTCAGGTGATAGTTACTCGCCTGATCGTCCTCCTGCGACTCCATAAGAACTGCATCAGCAGCATCCGGTGTCCCAAGCCGGCCCTCTAACAACATCCGCTGATTATGTTGCATCTCCTCTGATACATGAACCTTGGCCAGCATCATAGACTCGTCGTCATCCATTCGGGCGTCGTTGCCACAGCCGATGCCGACGTGCTGTTGCTGGTCGATGTTATTGTTCATAGTATCGACAGAATAGCAGCGTACAGGGACAGACATACTGAGGGCTGGCCTAGTACCTATTGTTAGGCGCAACAAGTTGCGTAAAAGATGCAGGAAATCAGTGAAACTGGTCTCAAGCCACAACCTTTTCGGGCTGTCAAACTCGCAGGAGGTCGCGTTGAACAGGACCAGAAGGTGTAATTTAGAGCTCTTACTGACTGACCAGGCAGAACGTTAAATTCGCACCGTTCCTGTTTTTGTTTTCCCAGACTCTCCACGCTCCGGCGAGCTAGGTACTAAACTTCACGCTTAAAGCGCACCACTCGGGTTTCGTTATCAATAAACCGTGAACTGAACGCGGTCCAGCGGATAGCGAAAGCGAAAGTACGTTTTAAGGAAGCGGCCTCGTTTCGTATTTACTCAAGAGAGAAAAACTCAATGAAAAATCTTCTGAAATGTGACACTCAGGAATTCCCTCAACTCTTAACGGATCTACACACACGCTCTTTCTCTCAACTATCGCGGTATACACCAGTTCCAAACGGGATTCCAGGAGGACCCGGCGAACTTTAATACCTTTTTATCGTTAGTAGTTAACTGGTAACGCGCAACGCGCGAGGCGCGATTTCAACTTTCCGCTGCTTCGTCGTGTGTGCAATCGACTACTAAAACTAGTCGTTCCTAGTCTACCGAGTCTCGTTCGTACACACCGGTCAACTGCTGTATTTTACTACGCAGCAACCTTAGTACGTCTTTACGGTTAGCCTTGATCAATTCAGGAAAAACAACGCACACATACGCACTCACGACCGCAAAGGGTGTCGTCTCTTCCGAGATAAGTGTTTGAAGCGGAAAGCTTTCTTGCTCGGCTCAGAACTCAACAACCGAGATCGATGACCTCTGAACGACAACAACAGGTTGATTCAAGAAAGTTCACCACCCAAACAATGCCCGAAGCGGAAACGAGTAACCTTCCGCTGTAGAATGCGATGAATGCGAGTCTTCACACAACAGGCTAGATCAATGTCTGTCAACCTTTTTTTTTGATTGTCTTATTTGTCTTGTTTCTATACGAAACGTCAACGATTTGATTTCTCCGCTTTCCACCAGGTAATGAAGAATCACCACCGAAAACTTACTTCTTTCTGTACGATCTGGAAAATTAGGTACATGGTTAAATACACATATCGATCACAGAAAAAAATAAATAAACATAAATGTGTGGAATGAAATTAAAGATGATAAACGAAAGCAGAAGGTCCGAGAGGGTCTGGACCAAAAAACGAAAATCAAGATAAGCGAGAGTGAATGAAACTGATAATTTTAACGAATAGATGTAGTAGGCAAAGTGCGCAGTTCGTCGTCCAGTGAACCGTTGTCCGTTGCTGCAAATTCAAATCTTGTTCCACTTTTGTTCGCTTGGGAGGGGGGAGAGGTCACGTGTGTGCGTTCTCGCGAATATGTGGACCAAAAATAGAAGGCGGAAGCGTTGCCTAATCGGTCACTTTGTTTTATGTGTGCATAGTAGTTCAATTCAAGTAGCCGATGGAATAAATTAGCAAGCTCCACTGACCGACACATTCGAAAGTCACGCGCATGACACTCACTCCATAGCCTGCTTGTCTGCCCTATCCTGTCGTATCAGAGGAGGCACTCGCAAATATGTTTACATTGCGATGGTGGTGGTGGTGGTGGCACGATTTTGGCTTTTCTTTGTTTGACTTAGCCTCGACTTGCCCTCCACCGTCGTCGGTCGTTGAAAACCAGAACGCGAGCGAGACAAGCCACAATATTGATAAGGAAAGTGCACGGCGGTATAAACACACAAAAGCGTAATATTGCAGCTGTTGGGCGGTTTGTTTGCACCAATTGTTTTGCGCTGGAATCGCCGCTATGACCCATTATTGTTTGATCTTCCATATTGAATTTATGGTGCCTTTGCAATCAGACACCTTCCATACTGAATGGTGACCTTAAACGTAATTTACGCTTCTTAACCTTTTCCAAAATCACACAGGACCGCTAATCTAATTTCTAATTTAAGTACCACTCTCAAGTTGAGACGGTTGCGTCAATTGGGTGCTGCAATCTTGGCTAAAACGTAGAATTTCATGTCTTATCTGAGAGTGCTTATTTTTTCTGGGCAGCTCTTAACTTCTCAACCCACTAGCGAGCGCAGTATGGAAGACAAACTCGCTGTAGATTACATTTAAATCGTAGTTTCTGCATCCTGTTTAATGCAGATTACGAATATGACATAACTTTAATGCCCCTTAAAATAGGTCGCTTGTGAATAGTAGTGAACTTATGCTTTTTTAGTATTCACCTACAGCAAATTGTAGCAGACACTACAACCTCCCAGAGCGTATCTGCAACTCTTGAAACGATCTAAAGAATACAAAAACACCTCCGACCTTACACGATCTAAAGAACCCTGTTCACTCCTTAAACTCCTTCTATTTGAAATTCATTTGAAATTTGTCGAAACTTCTCAGAAACAGGCTTGCTTCCACTCACTTGCTATAAAAAATATTTCCTGAATTTTGAAATCATTAGATGTTATAATGATATTTTGTCATTGTCAGGCACAAGAAGAGGCTGAAAGGCAAGTATTTAACTACATAAGCCTATCAAATTCGCTTTCAGATAGTCACAATCAGCGATTTTACGACTCGCGAGCGCTCACTCTGAGTGAACGCTCACGAATCATAAAATCGCCGATTGTAACACTCTGGAATCGAAATTGACAGGTAGTATGTGTCAAACACTTGCCTTTCAACCTCTTCCTGTATCTTACAAGGACAAAATATCATTATAACATGTAATGACTTCAAAATTCAGAAAATCATCTTTTTATAGCAAGTGAGTGGAAGCAACCCTGCTCAGAATAGTTTGAACTTCTCTGCTTCATCTTTTTAGAAGCATTCTAAGACCAAACCTCTAAAAAAACTTGAATTTACTTCAGAAAAGCATCAATAAATGCTCATAAATTGGCTTGAGAAACCTCCAGGAAGTCTAGAAGAACTTATAAAAAGCCCAGAGAACTCCCGAGAAACCCGAGAGAATTTTAGAGAAGTTCAATGAACTTCAGATAAACTCTAGTAAAAAATACCATAAACGATAACCACTAAACTATTCCACAAATGGTTTGGATGATACCCCGAACATGTCGTTAAGCAAGATGACCATAACATATTTTTATTAGGAAGTTCAACGAACTTCAAAGAAGCTCACGGAGCTTCGGAGCAATCTGCGGGACCACGAAGACCTAAGAAAAATAAGCTCATGGAACTTCCAAGAAGTACATGGGTTTTTCCGAAAGATTTACGAGTGTAGGGAACTTCATATAAGTCCGGGTAACCTTCGAAGAAGTCCAGAAGAGTTTTATAAAAGTTCAAGCAAATCTATTGAATTCAGAGAAGTTCAATTTGTCAGTACATGTTGTTCCAAGAACGGTTGTGACACTCTCCTGAAGCTTCCTGTTTCTCAAATTAGCAAAACAATGCCGAAATACTGTAATTTCTGTTGAACAGTTCTGTTAATGCAGTTCACTTAACTCCACTAAGCTTATTTCTTCGAGTTTCAGAAATTCGTCTTCATTTCTGATTCTGATCTTCTCAGTTAGCGGAAAACTCCAGACAATGCTTCAGAAAAGTACAGAGAACCCTCCGAATGACTTAGGGAGCCTCAAAGAAGAACTTCAAAGCCCAGAGAAACATTAAATATTCTTGAAGAGACCATTTTTAGCTAGCTTTGATTATCATTTTGAGGATGAACATTCCATGCTCCTCCTCCAGACCCTTCCTTCAAAAATGTTACCCTCGAGTCAACCACGAGTAATCGGTCCACCCCTACTAGATGTAGTATTAAATTATTCTTGTTAACATCAAACAATGATATATCGGGGCTCCGTAAAGCTAACGCGATTGAGCCTTCCAAATAAATGAATGGGAAGAAAAACCTTCGATGACTTGCTGAACATTTTCTGAAGAGTTCGTCTATTTTTGTCTTTGTTATCGAGATTTTCATCTGGAGGCTGGTTCATCTCACTTTTCAAAACTTTGCTGATTTCGTTCGACGATCCTTGACTTTTGCGGAGCAATTTTTAAGTTTCAATAACCTCTGAAGACTCAGAAACTTTTCAGAAGATCGATGGCCTTTTCTGATGTTTCCTAATCTCATGGTAGGGCTTTGTTCAGACCGTCCGGCTTGATAGAACCTCACTCGCGAGTTTGAAATGAGCCGAGCGTAGCATTTTTCCGAGGACTAGAATGTCTACTGCCAAATCATTCCAATGAGCTTCAGAGCTTGTGAGCGAAGGGGGATAAAATGAGAGTGAGGTTTGCTGCCATTCATGTTCATGTTTTCTATCACACGCTCTTACTCTCACTTTGGGTGAACTCTGAGCTTCTTGCGTCGAACAAAAAAGTCATCCGGAGTCTCGAAAAGCGTACCTTACACGTCAAATCACCCTCTCGCTGAAATTCACTCTCCCTCTCTCTCTCGAGGAGTGTTTGTTTATCCCTGCCGCCACTCACTCGAGGTGAGGACTGGCTAAACTCGCGCGACAAGAGAGTTTTAAAACCTCCTGTGAGTTTTAAGAGTTTCAGCAAGTCTGGACCGCTAGGAAATTCTGCACCTATTTTCAGCGAAATTTTGCAATTGATGCAGCAAAATTGCTTTTTTAAAGATGTCGTGCATTTTGTGCACGTGCATTCATCATTTAGCACAAGAAAAGGGGGCATTTCTGTCGTGGGAAAATAGTGCTTTCCCTTTCACAGACATCAGAATTCAGTGTCAGGCATTGACAAAAATCGGACGATACCCTTATTTATGCATTTGGATTCAAATTGTAAGTCCCTCCTATTTAGAGAATTCTTAATCGAGCTGGAATTAGGGCTTTTGTAAACAATGACTTCTTTCGATGATTACTACACTAATAAAATTCCACACATTTAACTGACGAATTTCCATGTGAAATTCCACATGATTTTCATGTGACCACACATAAACAGAATCCACCCAGAAGCACACATGAAATGTATGAGTCAAATGAATAGTATGTGTGGTTACACATGGCTTTAATGTGTACCCATATTAAGTATGTGTCCGACACATAGATATCATGTGTGGGACACATAAAAACAACATTTGAAATTAGATTAGTGTGGTAATTCAAGGCACGCCCATGAAAACTAACACAACCATTGGGTAGTGGAAGGCCCCTATCCACTGGTGATATTGATTTGCGTGGGAGAGCCTTGATTTTTGCAAAATTAGGAACTCCACTTTCTTTTCTTGCTTGTCTTAGGCGTCCTGAACAAAGCCCTACCTTAAGCTCCCCCGCTCTGAAACTCACTGAAGTTAGCCGAACTGCTCAGAGCTTCAACGGTTCTTTCTTTCAGAAGCTTTCTGATTGACTCCGAAGATCTCCGAACCCACGCGAGTCGAGTCGACTCAATTTGGTCAAAAGTGGATTTACGCAAAAGTTAGTTGAATTTTCTGGGATTTTTTTCGAATATGAGGAAAATCGACAGAGGTTTAACTAATACTCCAAGACTGAGTAAAATTTTCTTGGTTTTTCCTAATATTTGATCAGAAAAATTCAACTCTCTAGTATCCACTTTTGACAAACTGAGTCGACGCGTCTCAATTTTGAGTCGGTCTGATCGTCCGTGCATCAACTGCTCCCTCCTGCTGGTCAAACAACTTCAGAAAAGTTAAGAGAATTTCAAAGATGTTTGTTTATGGGACCTGTTATGTAAGTCGAGTCGAGCGTCACTTCTGTTCTTCTTCTTCTTCGCATTTCAAGCTTATTGCGTATCACATATTAGCTTATTGCGTGCTCTCAACTTAGTGTTCTAGATGCACTGCCACAGTTATTAATTGAGAGCTTTCGATGCCTGTACCATTTTTGCATTGGTATAATTGTGTGGCAAGTCCAATCATACTTCTATGCCCAGGGAAGTCGATAAATTTTCCAACCCGAAAAATTCCTAGACCGGACCGGGAATTGAACCCAGTCACCTCCAGCATGGTCTTGCTTTGTAGCTGCGCCTTTACCGACTGAGCTAAGGGAGGCCGTCACTTCTGGTCACTGATCTAATTTGGTATTAGTTCTGTAATACCAAACTAGACCAGTGACTAGAAGTGACGATCGATTCGACTTACAAAATAGGACCCTATGCAGCTTCTGAGCAGGCTAGGGAACTTTAGAGACTCAGGGAATTTTGAGAAGCTTAGAATACCTTCAATGACCGCATTAATGTTTAGAAGAACTTCTGGATGAAGCTGAAGAAAATCTTAGAGAGGCTTAGTAGAATTGAAGAATAATCGATTGGCCTTTATAGGAGCATACGGAGCTTGGGTGCAGTCCAGGAAACATTGGAGAAATTCAGAAAACTTCAGAATCAAATCAGAATGAGTCAGGGAAACCTGAGCGCTCCAAAAGACTTTAGAGGAAAATAAGCGACTTTCAACGAAAGTCACGGTGCTTCCGAGCAGTCAAGGAAATCCCAAAGAAAACCAGGAACCTTCAAATAAGTGCTGCAGGGAATTAAACACTTTGTCAAGCAGTTTAAGCGTGACTTTCTACCAGCGATTTCACAAAACTGGACCAACTAATTCCTATTATTTTATGAAACGCACAAATGGTGGCTATTTTTCTCGTGGTTCTAGAAGAAAAAAAATCAAAATAATGTTTTATTTCAAAGTTCAAGTGGTAGTAAACGTCATTTTAACTGCTCGAATGAAGTGATTAATTCTCACACGCATTAATGGGAGTTCTGCGAACTACATAGAAACCCTAGAAAACTTCAAAGAAATCTAGCATATCGTTCTAGAAGTTCATTTAAATCGAATGCAAGTGCAAGGTGGTTGATATAAGTTCAAAAAGCTTCAGGAAACGTTCGACCTCAGATAAGCTTAAGAAACCATATAGAAGATTAGGGAATATCAGAGAAAATCTCCATAGAAAAGTTTTGGTTTCTGCAAAGGATTTCATGGAGTATCAGAGAAGTTCTGCGTGATTCAGTGAAGTTCAGAGAAAGAGCACCTCAGGGAAGATTTGGAGAACTTGAAGAAATTTAGAAAACCTCACAATGAGGTTTTCTACTTAAAGCAGAAGTCCATGAGATCTTCAGAGAAGTATATCGAACTTTAAAAGGCTATCGGAGCTTAGAAGTAATCTAGGGATTCTCCAGAGAAGTACAAGTGTAGTCTCTAATGTTGAAAAAAGTTTATATAACTTCATAGAAGTCCGGGTAAATATCAAGGCAGTCTAGGAGAACCCTACAAACGTTCAGGTAAATCATAGTCAAGTCCAGGGTGCTTCATATCAAAATCATTACCTCTCAGAGAGGCTCTAGGAATCCCAGAGATGATCAAGGAATCCTCCGAGAAGCTGAGAAAACTTCAACAAAAGATCGGAAGATTTAAATTGATTGCCTATGGGGAAATGGCTCTAATGTTGGCCTATGGATCTAAGATTAAGCTCATCGCTAAAAATTTGCTGTTTATCAATTTTATCTAGATGGCGCTTGGGACGGTACTAATGAATATTTTTGGTCGCTATTGAAAATTTAGTCGATTGCTGAATTTATGTATGGACCCAAATTAGGGGCATTACATCCATTTCCCCTATAATTAGAAAACCTTGGCGATTTCCAACATGGAATCCTACATGGGAAACCACTATATGTCATCCCTCTCAGTTAATTTAAATACGCGTTAGAAACTTGAACTTGATTTTACTCTGCGATCGGAGACACTCAAGTCAAGAGCTATCTGATATTAGGTTTGTTCATGTACCCGAATCTGTACCTTGATATAGGTACGAGAACCAACCTGTCATTGGATACTGAAATCATCTGGGCTTAAAAAAGGATGATGGCATTTCCTGAGTGATTTGAGATTTGGGCGTAATTGCTTTTGTTAACAAACACTTCAATCGCCGATTTCTAGCGAAAAAAACTAAGCCTAGAAAACTAACAATGCAATCAGATAGAGGAATCATTTCTCTATCATTTAGTATAGTTTGTCCGCGAGAAATCGACGATAGACGTGTTTGTTTGCAAAGGAAAGCAATTACGCCCAAATCTCGAAGTTCTCCGGATTTGTCCTGCCGCTTACGCAAGAGATTCTACCTTCTTTTTTTTGTTTATTAATTTATTTGATAAGGCTCAACCGAATTAACTTTACAGAGCCTAGGATTCCTTTTCACTATACAATACATCATAAAACTATAGTCAAAAGAAACAACACAATAAAAATTTTATCTTCCGCTATCCAATAAGCCTTCTCCACCAGAACGGGAGCCGCTTCCAGTGGTTTCATTGTATGGCAGATTCGCCAACGGAGGTCAGAGCGCTTCCATTGCAGCAATGGAGGACGCAAATCGTGGTCAGCACTCACACATTCATCACGAAACGGTTGCTTTCCAAAGTTGACGACGCATCGACTGAAAGAACTGCTGATGAAGACTTAGACTTGTATTTCCTTTCACGCAAATCAGCAACTTGCAGGAAATGTTGCTTACGAAGATGGACGATTGTATACAATATTTGCAACAATGCATGAAATGTCTTAGAAATTTACACTACTTTTTCGAAGTGTGGTAACCCTAATAAAATGGTTATGGTTATTTTGCTTAACGTATTCGGGGTATCATCCATTTGTGGAATACTTCTGTCATTTGGATTATCGTTCGTTTATGATTAATTGTTTATTAGGGAAGACATTCTGATCGTGCTTCCAATGGAAGATCAGTTTGCTGTTTATTTAAACATAATTAAAAGACGTCGTCAAATTCAGTTACAAAAGGGTTGCCAGATTGAAATAGCGCAGCTTTCACCACCCTATTTCGTTAAATTTTCAATTACCGCGGACAAAAGTCCCAATCGATTTCCGAATAAAAAAGTAAGGGGGTGCCGATTTCCAGCTGATTGCACCCCTCCGAAATCGAGCCATACAAACGTCGTTTGCAGCTGCGCCTACTTCGATTTGCCGCTCCATATCAACATAGGCGTCGTTGGCGCATATGTGCCAATAGCCCGAGCAGTTTTTTTTCTCTTCTCCACACACCGAAAAAAGAAAGCGCAAACTTTAAACGAAATATATATGGGATGTGGAAGTAAGGAATCGGCTATCAAGCTCGCGCAGACATCATGAGTCTCACTCAAAGTGTCTAGGCGGGAAGAAGCAACTGATTTTTAATTGCCCTACGGTTCTTTTTCTGGGTTAAGCCCATACAATCCTTGCCTTCTTTAACCAAGGTCGGCAGAGCCCCGCAAAGAAGTACCAACCGAACTTGCCAAGCGGGGTACCAAATGAGCAAAGCAAACAAAAATTATTGTTCTCAGAGCAGGTGGACTGCAAGTATTGCATTAATTGCAGAACATATTTTAGTAATTTTTAATGAAACACATTATTTTGTGCATTTTGCATTTTGGGATTGATGAGTGATAACAAGCACTTGTTTGAAACTGTGTCTCTGATGCAAAATCGATCGCAACATTTTCTAATTTGCGGGGCTCTTACTGAAACATCGACTTTGAGTCAAAGTAACGATAAGGGTTCGTTCAAACATTATGTAACGCAAAACAGCGGATTGAAAAAAAAATAACGTTCAAAAACCACGATCTAACGCGACAAGCTACGATACCAACACCAACAAAAGTTCCGAAACATTCCATAGGATCGAATCAAGTTCAACCATCATCATCTTCATCGTCCGCCATAATCATCATCATCATCATCATCATCATCACACAGCGATAGAGATGTGTAAAGCGTGTGACGCACGACTAGAGGTTGTCTACATTATGTAAGTCAAGCAGGATTCAAACGTTTTGTTGTGCGGACTTACAAATTCAAAGTCATTTGTAAGCAACGGATTACTTCCTCGCTCTTTGCAGTACCACCTCTGCCGTTGCTGCTGTAAGTCAGTCATGTATAATTTTGATAAGATTAACCAACGCAACCGAACGAGTACCTCGCACCAGGCTAGAATAATCTCCATAGCCCAGGGAAGCGTTCGTGCGCAAACGCTTACGGCGATCTACTTTGGTCTCATTACTTTGGCCGGATCTCGGGCGGATATATTGTATGTAAATTTCGGCTCCCGTTGGCTAGTTTGTTGTGGTTCGTTTCGCTCATCGCTCATCGTAGTGATTTTTGATACACTTTTTTTTCTTTGCGCTTTCTATATCGGAGAGCTCGGTTTATGTTAGTTTTCATATCTACATACACACATAAGTAGGTATGCATCGGATGACGAAATCCACTCGAAACGGGACGCGTTTCGCTACCAGGAGAGGAAGAGGGATGGATGAGCCTCACTCGGTGACCCGTTATTAGGAGCAGCGAGCGCTTGAGGAAAAGAGAAACGAAGCGAACATTGAATTCAGGGTTGCTCTGTTTCTGAGTGTAACACATTTTCACAGGATTGCAGCGTTCGAGATAAACGTGCGGTACTAGAACGGTGTCAAATTGTCACCTTCAATTAATCGTGCAATCGTGAGGAAAATTCACACTGAAATTGCGAAATCACAAAATTTGCCATTCGCTTCCATCGCCCAGTGAGAAGATGACTTCATACATAACTGTGCGAAGCACAGAAGCGACGGAACAAACCAACATAAACCACACTCCCACAAACAAACAAACAATAAACCGAACGTTATTTGTGCGGCTGTGTGCGTCGGTACGCCATAGTAATTTCTCGTACGAACGTCTCTAAACAGATGATTTTCCTTTACTGCCCGTCGCACCACAGCTGCCCACCCACCACCTCACATACCCACAGAGGCAGATAGAGATAGAGAGAGCTCCTGCCACTGTGAGTAATTATTGTCGAAAACTTGTCCAAACGCGTCCGCTCATGCAAAATAACGTTCGAACACTTTCCACCTCTGGAACATTCTAGAACACGACCAATGCTAGGACAGGTCGTATCGCGCACACACAGGTTCACTGGATCACGACGACGGGGGGTCACGGTGTCACACACTGATCCGATAATGAGAACACTTTGCACAACACTTTACCTATATGCTGTGATGATTGGGAAATTCACTAACCCACCCCATGTCCCCCTCTAAAATCACAACCCAACGGGACCCCTGTCAAAATCCCTTTCGTGAAAGGTACCAAAGTTTTTTGCAGGCAGCGCTCTCGGGATTCAATTGAGCCCGAAATTGGAAAAATTTCGCTTCAATTTACACGAATCCGTCATCGTCGCTGCTGTTCGCAAGCACGGCTGCTGGTTGCGAGGCAGAAATTCAAAATGGCCGCCGTAATGGCTGCCTCTGCTTTGCTACTGGTGTACACACTTCGACGGAGGAAGAAAATTTCATTCCGAATTTCTCGCCTACCGAGGCGTCTGGGGTCACTTTACGGACCCCAGTTAGATTACCGGACACTAATTTGTAACGATCACTTACCCGGATGCTTCCGTGATTGTGGCTCTCACTTTTGCTTCACCACCCCAATATCAGTAACAAAGAACTATTCGATTCGATATTAGATTCTACAATGATGGGCCGTGCGGAGATTTCACTGCTCTCGGGGGTCGATCGATCTAGTACCGCACCAGTTTGTCATGGAATGTGCGAGCGTATGCGTATGTTCCGACCAGACTTGCGTTGGTATTGGTGTTACTTTACACTCAGCTGATGTACGACGCGCAGCTCTCCTTCGTGTGCTGTTTCATGCCTTGTATCCTCTTCTGTTACTACCACATACTGTGGTTGTTGTGTTACTGTACTCTATATTTTTAGTAGTAGTATTGCTTGCTCGGCTGGTACATGTACAAACAACGGATTGTGTTTGTTTGTCACAAATATAATCGTCGTCGGCGTCGTGTGGAGACTCTCTACTAGGGGGCGAGATTTTCCGATTTTCTTCAACCGATTCGACGGTTTGACCGTTAAAACGCAGGTCACACGATGGCGTGGTGTGTCGGTGGTAGGATGATGCACTTCTTTCGCTTTTGTGTATTTTTTCTAGTTTGTTTATTGGAGATGGCAACGATTTTTTTTTGTTGTTGTTGTTGCAAATAACAGCTAGTAGGAAAATATCTGAAATAAGAAGAAGAAACGGAGAACTTGTTAGAAACGATGCGTCTTTTTGGTGCGAACATTATTTTAAATGGTTTTAAAAGGATAATCCTATGGGAAGAAAAGGAAGTCTGCGCCTACTACAGGATGATTCCAGTACGATTTTACTCGTAGGAATGTATCGATCTAGTTCGTTTATTCGAAAGGCTCAACCACATTAGCTTTACGGAGCCGATTATCCGTTGTATCGTTACCAAATTTACTCAATTCTAGTGCTTTACAAGAAGATGGTCATTCTGAACTCTTACGAAAGCTCTTCTTCGGGGTGAATGAGCCCTTCACTGACTCGTTGACCGCTGTTTTCTGCTAATATGACGGTGTAAAATTTACAGATTCCACTGTTTCCTCTTCTAATACCTCGACAAACCGTTTGATACCGCTCCTTTTCCAACGACTCCTGTATAGCTATTGGTTTGACCTTTCTCTTGTTTCCGTTTCTCATGTTGGTTCCGGGTTTTCCGAGATATGCAAGAAGCTCTACGATGCCCTTTTCTGAGTGAGATAAAAAGCACTTGTTCTTGAGTCCACTATAAGTCACTTTCGCTAGAGAAATCCAGCGTCGGTCGCGGTGGACGTTCCTCCTTGCCAGTGCTGCAAAATATCGACCATACACGGCGATATTGTTCAAACAGTCGACTTTCGTCGCTTACTCGAGCTAAAGATCATCTTCATGGAAAATCATGTCAATTATCAGTGATAATGTAGGCAGGGTGGCAAGAGAATTTTCATTTTGAAATTCCCAGTTTTCCCCATAGAGATTTGAAATTTCTAAGATTCATGCAGTGGTGTCGCGTAACCTCACTCTTTACCCGTTCAACAACTTTTAAAACGTTATTTAGGGTGAAATTTACATTCAAATTAATTTCAAAAGGCTCACGGTCTTCTAGTTTCACAGATTTGTATTCAATGGAACCAATATTGTTATATTTGTTTACGTTTTGTGAGTTGTTGAACAGGTAGATTGAGGTTAGGGCGACGTCACGGGATTCATGACATCGGTTAAGTCTTAGACTACGACATTTTTTCGAGACATGAGACATCCTGATCCTATATTAAGGGAAAAAATCAGGATCGGATATTTTTTCAACAATCTGGGGCTGAGAAAAATACCCAAAATGTGGGATTTTGGAAAATATAAAGGATCTTAGATTAAAAAAAAAAACATTTATTACGGACCCTGAAAATTATTCAGGGTTCTCACAACTTCAAGAATTTTCTACAAAATTAATAAAGAAAATGACGAGAATTTTAAGTGAAATTTAAAAAAGAAATGAAGTGTTGGGGAGGAACCTAAAAAGTTTTAAGGAATTCCAACCAGAATTCCAAGATAACCCTTCACATGCCATCAGCTCCAGCGCTAGTCGCTGGTCCTGTTTTCAAACTCGGAGACAGAGCTGCCCAGTCTGTCTTGTCAGGCAAGTACAATTATGATATGAATTCATTCATGGATTCGCTCTCTCACAAAACCTCGAATTTCAGCAACCCTCCATGAAACGTTTGCAGTCATCAAACTTATCATCAAACACCACCTTCTTCGCCGGGACGCATGTCAAAAAGCATTATGGAAGCCTCTTCTCCGTCCAGAACAGACGAGACCGATCCTACTACCGCTTTATTTCTACAACGACCACATCATCCTAGTTCCTGCCGTCGCAGCCTTCCTGGTCCTGTGTCTGTGGCTACAGAAGGGGTCTTCCAGCCTGCTCTTCCGGGCAAGTATCTTCCGTCTGTACAATTGCCACCTCCTGATACTCAGTTCAATTCCAGTTGCAGCATTATCGATAGCGCTTCTCTTTCTGACGAACCTACAAGACGAACACTATATTCTTACGGACAAGCTTCTACGATTTCGACCAGCAACTGTTTCAGCAACAACGATGGAGCATCGGAGCCACAGCGTATCCTGTCCGTCTACTACCAGACCGTCAGAGGCTTGCGCACCAAAACGATCGAACTCAAGCTAGCATTATCCAGTTTTGACTACGATGGGGTGGCGCTCCGATATAAGCGATGCGATCGTAGTGAGTTCACCAGTAATCTTACGAGAGGTGGTGGTGTGTTAATTGCAGTAAAAACTAGTCTGCCGTGTACAGCGGTCTCTGTAGTAAACTGTGATCAAATTGAACAAGTTTCCGTATGTTTGAAGCTTTCACATCGATCGATATATGTACATCTTCGGCATCTATACACTGCTCATGCTTCGGTCGTTCAGAGCATCGTCTTGCTACTCGGCGATTACAATCTTCCTCATCTGCACTGGATCTTTGACGAAGACGTGAACGGGTACCTGCCATCGAATGCTGCCAGTGAACATGAACTCGTACTTGCAGAGTCCATCTACGCTTGTGGCCTGGTGCCTCCATCATAAACGTCAATGACTGGCTGCTCGATTTGGTGTTTGCAGATTCACCGGACGACGTTGAAATTGTTCAACCAGCGCTTCCACTCTTGAACGTCGATGCTCATCACGTACCATTCGTTCTACAAGTTGATACTCATTGCTATCTTCACATAACCAAGTTGATTCTCAATCCGAACTCGAGGATTTCGACTTTCGGCTCTAAATCGATAGATTGGGAACACTATCTTCAAGGTGACTGTCTGGATGCCAACGTACTCCTGTGTTACGATAAATTATATGAAATCTTGCATGCTAATGTTCCTCAAGGCCACCGTGCTCATAGTAGGATCAACAGGAAGCCTTGGTGGTCAGCTGGGTTGCGCAACCTGCTCGACTTTTCAAACCTCTTTCAAAGCGCGTTCAGTTCAACGTCGCCTCAAATTTACTCAGATTGTTTCCAAAATGTACCTTCCCATGAGGTACTGCTGCCTGTCCTCAATTTTTCTCGAGAGGAAGTACAGAAAGCTTGGGTCGATGGTCTGTCACCATATCCACTGAAAGAGTGTGCTGCTTCTTTAGTTGATCCATTGTCACAGCTGTACAATCGATCAATGATAGAAAAAAACGTACCCAGGCCTGTGGAAAACTGCTTCAATGATTCCCATTTACAAATCCGGCAGCCTTCAACGTGTCGAAAACTACCGTGGCATTTCCGATACTCTGTTGTCTAGGAAAGATCCTCGAATCCTTAGTACCCAAAGTCATCTTGATTGCTGAAGCTGAAACACATGGGTTTTACGGGATGGATAACGGACTGCATTCGTCCAGGCCAACTCTGCACGTTCCAAAGCATTCGAAATACCATCTGGAGTTCTTCAGGGTAGCGTGTTAGGCCCTCTTATTTTCGTCCTCTTCATGAACGATCTGTGCCTTCGTATATCGTCCGGGAAGCTTTTATACACGGATGATTTAAAGCTGTTCAAGGTAATCGAGTCTGCACTGGATTATGCGGCTCTACAAATGGACATCGACATGCTTTCACAATGATGCAACGAGAATGGTATGAGCGTAAACATCAACAAGTGCAAGGTAACCACGTCCAGTCGTAGCTGGTCGCGTATTATTCACGTTTAATCCATCGATACAACCCCGTCTGGAATGTGTTCAGCCCCTTCGCGATTTGGGTGTTATAATTATTGCTACCATAAGAGCTAAAGCATTCTCTGTTCTTGGATTCATCCGTCGCTTCGCAATTTACTGATGTTTATGCGTTGAAAGCACTGTTCTGCACGTTGATGCGTAGTATTCTCGAATACGCTTCTCCGATTTGGGCACCTCATCATGCGGCTCAAGTGATTCGCATTGAACGTGTACAAAAACAATTCGTGCGATTCACTCTCCGTCATCTTCCGTGGGACCATCCTGTTCATCTATCAGCAAGACGCCTCCAGACAGAGCAGATGTTCATATTTGAACTAAAGAACAACTTCGATTGCTCGTACCTACTTCAGCAAGTGTCCCATGTCCCATGTGCCCCATCGTCAACTTAGAAACTCGGCCTTAATTACTGTTCCACGACATAGGACTAGTTACGGGTACAACAGCCCATTTAGCTCCTGCCTGCGTAAAAGACTTATGCGTTTTTCTAGGCTCAAAGCTGACATACTCACACCATATATCGTATGTCGTCGACAAAGCGTCCAGAACTATTGGCTTTGTCTTCAAGATTACTAAGAACTTCACAGACATTTACTGGTTGAAATCGCTCGATTGCTCTCTCGTACGATCTACGTTGGAATACTGCTCTGCAGTCTGTAGCCCGAACTACAATAATGGGGCCGAGCGAACTGAATCTGTGCAACGACGTTTTTTTCGCTTCGCTCTCCGTAAGCTGCCTTAGAGATACCCACTTCGTCTTCCAAGCTACGAGAATCGCTGCCAATTGATCAATGTCGAGCCCTTACGTATCCGAAGAGATGTTTTCAGAGCCTTAACCGTCGCCGATACTCTTTTGCAAGGAAGAATCGACTGCGAAGCAATTCTGCAACAAGTGAACATTAATGTTCAATCGGGATCACAACGCAACAGTCTTATGCTAAGACTTCCACTTCTTCGAACTAATTATAGCTTAGGGAGCGCTATTTTCGGCTTGCAGCGAGTGTTCAACCAACAATCAATACGAAACTGTCGATTTGAAATTGCCTCACTACTTGACTAGCCTATTGGTCCCAAGCAAACGATTAACGTACCCCATTCCCTATGTTTGTTTTGATTCTCTATGAAAGTTTGACAGATTAAATGAGGGGTTCGTGGATTTTTCAATGTTTCAAGGG